AGCTCGGTGGTGCCTTTTTAAAAGGCATCCAGTTGAAGGGACCGTGTGGTTTTCCCCAAACCAGAAATGTCCAGCAAACTCAGCGTGCCCCCTGTTAAAGGCTCTGCACCCCAGTGATAGCAAAGAAAGTCACCCTGATCATTCAGATGAAGGTTACATATACCCAGTGATCGGTGACTCGAATATAATTTCTGCATCAGCTGCATCTTCCAAGCTATTCTGCAACTTGCCACATAGTGCTCGATACTTGGATAGTGTTTGCAAGCAGCAGACAGAAGGTTAATGGGAAATGTCTCTGACAGTAGCTGGATGTAATTTAGAGATGGACTACAGCCATGTAGTCACATACCAGATTTGAGTTTTGGCTCATTTTGTTAGAGAGATAAGGCCCAGAAAGGGATATACACATTCAGCCAGAGCTGAGTTTTCCAAAAAGACAGTTTCTCACTGAAAAGGGATGGCCAGTTTAACATCTGAGCTATCTGGCCTCTGTGACGCAGTGGCTTGCAGGCACTCTTTAAAGGCTGCTGGTGGTATCATTTAGTCCTCCCTTTCTTACAGCTTCCCAGAGAGGGGATGAGGGTGGCAGTGATGACTAGTTACATTAATCCTAGTTTATCTCAGTAGCATACAGCAAAACAAAGCAACAAAGGTATTCCTTATTCTTCCTCACCATCCTTATTCTTCTTGTTGATCAAACTGTGCCTGTTCTTATTCACTTCATGTTTCTGGGACTTGTATCTTCTCCTCTGTGTGTCCTCCCTCCAGGGAGACTATTCCCATGCTTTATGTAGCACAGGTTGAAAAAATGTCATGTATAGATCTCTACTACTTCTCTACTAAGAAAGTGATTTATTAAGGTGTTCTGAATACGACCTTCATTTCAACTGCACACATAGAGATTGATTTTTCTTTTGTGTCTCCAAACTGGTCCCTCTTGCAAAATGTTATTATTTTCCATCTCTTACCCTTTAGCTCTTTTGAAATCCAGTTTGAAAAACATCATCTCTGCCTCCAGTTGTGGACTTCGGAGCGATGCAGCTCAGCTTAAAAGCTGTTTGGGAAGGCAACTGCTGAAAAGAGGCTCTGAACTTACATGGGCACAAATGCCCAGAAACACTGAAGGGAGGCCTGAAACCATTGGTTTGAAGATATGAAATGTTGCACCCCTCATGTTGTAATATCTCATTCCAATGTCAGCTTTTCTAAAGACAGAACATCTCCCAGTGCCATTCCAGGGGCTTAAATTCAGTGTTGAGTCTACATAAAGAGAGAGGAGAGCTACTTGCTCCTTCATCACTTTATGAGCCTAGTATCTGTATCATTGCTCAGCAGGTCTTGCTTCTAGTAATCCTCTTTTTCTTCAGAGCTGAGCACCAAGAGCATATCCTAAGCAATTCATATAAAAAGGCGACAAAAATAGCACCTGGGAATAAAGTTGTCTCCTTTGGCTCATAATCAAACCTCCCAGGGCAGTTAGTTGTGCTTGTGAGTGCACTACTAAGCCTGTGATTTTTCTCTTCTGTGGGCTCTCCTGCATTTTTGCAGATGGCCGGGTGTAGGTGAGTGTGCCTGGGGTAACATTCCTGTTTGCTGGGCTGCTGGAATTCGGCTATGCTCCTTAACAAAACAGTTTGGTTTAGACATTTTTAATGCATGTGCATGTGCAAGATGCGTTTGGAGGAAAAACTAAGCAGAACGAAGACACTGAAAGGCGAGGTTGTAAAACTGGTATGTCTCAGCTTTGATTCATATTGACTGGTGATCTAGTTTTCCCACATTGCTTCTTTTTCCTTCTAAAGGATGTTAAAGAGCAGGCCAAAGTACAGGTCCAGCACCTCAGCGACTGCCCGTGCTGGACATAAGCAATGCGACTGGGCTGTCAGAGCTGGGTGTAGGGTGAGAAATTAATTCAGTTAGTTCTGCCACCATCAGAGATGTTGGCACTCCCTTTTCACCTGTCGCACCATGACACCTAAAGACCAGCGAGTGGGGACACACACCGAGCTGTGC